GTAGTTATTTTTGTCAGTTCCTATTGCAAGCACGCAGCCCTTACATGCTAAGATGGAAGCATGCCTGGAATGTTGGATGAAGCAAGGAGATCAGGTGGGTGCAGAAGAAGCAAGGGGAAGGATGGTAGGAGCAGGAGAGAAGGCTGGTGATTTTTACTCTGACAGACAGGAAATCAGTGGAGGGTCTTGAACAAGAAAAGACAAGATTGGATTCATGTTTTAATACCAGCACTCTGACTCCTGTGTTGAAAATATATTATAAGGAGGCAAAGAAACAAACTAGTTCTGAGCTGTTGTAGTAATGCATGTGAAAGATGGTAGTTAGAAGTTGCCAAATTCTGGTTCCACTTCGAAGACAGATCTAACAGGTTTTATTGAAAGACTGACTGTGAGGCAAAGAGACTGTGGTTTTGATATGAGCCATTGTCAGAATTCAGCTTTCATTTACTGAGATGAAGGAAGTCTGAAAGAGAGCCCCCCTTTTTATTTTTTTTTTTAGGGTGAGTCGGGTGGTGGGGCGAGTGAAGGGGGATGAAGATTTCAATTTTGGACATGATAGACTTGAAATGTTTGTTACACATTCAAGTGGACTGATGCTCGGGGAGAAGTTTGGGCTGGAAAGAGGATGGATCATTGGTTCTTTTGCGAATTTTTATTAAAATCCCACTCTATGCCAGGTTCTAGTCTAGGCTCTGGAGAAACACTAAATTCCTCAAGAACTAGCTTTTTTTTTTAAGATTAGAAAATAAAGTTTATTTAGAAAGTACATTTAGAGAGAGAGAAAGAGGAGATTCACCTCCCCAAGGTAGGGGAGGGGACCAAAGCTTAAGAAAGCCCGGCCTAGCCATAGCTCAAAGAGCACATGACCACACCATAGCTTAGCAAGGCAATGGCTGCAATGGGTGTGGCAATGGTGGTGGCAATGGCCGAGAACTCACCTTCTAATGGTCACGAATAAGTTAGCAATCAAGGAATGGAAGGTCTTTAGCTCTCTAGATGGGACGCAATGTACAACTGCCATTGTTGTTTTTAATATTCGGGGTATTGCAAGCGCCAGAAGATGGGTCTTGCGACCTAGGAGCGCCTCCTCCTCCCAACCTGGGGGTGTCAGGTATCCTTGACTAAGAGAAGGCCAGATTTCCAGCGCAGCTGAATGGCAGCATTACGCACGCGCGGCTTCAGTCGGGCGTCCTAGGAGATGGACTCGGAAGAGCCTCTGCGCATGCGTACTTCGAGAGGCCGAGGGAGTCCGAGACCAAAGGTTGGGGCGGGGCGAGCTCGGAGTGCGCCTGCGCGGTGGGCGCTCTCGCCCGAAGCGCCGCAGTCTCGAGAGCGCCAAGGAGGTGTCTCGGCGGTCT